CCCTTGCCTTCAAGAAACTCAGCCAGTGAGGTAGCTTTTATTGCAACAAAAGTAAAGGTATATCTCACCTAATATCATAATATATTCCTCCAGAACAGGACTTCAAATGAAATAAACTACCAGGTAGTTAGACAGGCTACCAGGTAGGTACAATGGATATAGTGTCCAGCCTGAAATCAGGAAAACTCTTCTTCCTGAGTTCAAATCTGGCCTGAGACACTTACTAGCTACGTGACCAGTGGGCAAGTCACTTTGCCTCAATTTCTTCATTTTTAAAATTAGCTGGAGAAGGCAATGGTAAAACACTTTAGTATCTTTGCCAAGAAATCACAAAGAGTCAGGCACAACTGAAGTAACTAAACACAAGTTACCTTTCATCTATTCTATATGTTTCTTGTGTGTACCTAGTTATTTATATGATGTCTCAACCATTGGAATGTGAGTTTCTTGAGCAAAAAGTATCTTGTCTTTCTTTCCATTGTCTTTCCCAGTATTTATCACAGAACTCAGCATATAATAAGCACTTAATAAATACTTGTTGATTGGCTCATTGACCACCTGTTTTACATCATGACTGAACAATGCTGCCTATTCAGTTAAAATTATAAACTAAATCTCCTTATAGTGGTATTTGGTTATAATGTATTAATAGCATTACTGCAAAACCACATTAGTGGGAACATTTTCACAACATAGAATATGAAAGATACTATGACAACAGTACAAACTGTTGCCACTATTCAGAGAAGAGTTAGATGGGGAAAACTTGATAATGAAGGTGACATTTGAACATGGGAAAGATGGGTAGGGTTTTATCTATCAATCAATGAACATTTACTAAGTGCCTACTATATGCCAGGTACTGTGCTAAGTGCTAAGGATGTGAAAAAGATGCAAAAGACACTGCCCTCAAGGAGTTCACAATCTACTGCAGGAGACAAGAAGCAAACAAATGCGTACAAACATGCTATATACAGGATAAATAGGAAATAATTAAGATAGGGAAAGGCATTAGAATTAAGAGGAGTTGGGAAAGACTTCCTATAGAAGATGGGATTTTAGCTGGGACTTAAAAGAAAGCCAGGGATGTCAGTAGGCAGAGCAGAGGTGAGGGAGCATTTCAGGGATGGAGTACAGCCATAGAAAATGCTTACAATAGAGAGATGGAATGTTTTATCCATGGAATGGTAAGGGAGCCAGTGTTGCTGGATTGAAGAGTATATATGGTGAGGAGAATGGCATAAGAAGCCTGGAAAGGTGGGAAGGGGTTAGGTTATGAAGGGCTTTGAATGTCAAACAGAGTATTTTGTATTTGATCCCATAGATAATAAGGCTGGAGGTAATAAATTGGAGTTTATTGAGTAGGAGTGTGTGTGACATGGTCAGACTTGTGTTTTGGGAAAACCATTTTAGTAGCTAAATGGAGAATGGATTGGAGTGAGGAGAAATCTGAGCAGGCAGATCTACCAGGAGGCTATTGCAATAGTCCAAGTATAAGGTGATAAGGGTTTGCATGATAATGGTAGCAATAGTTATAATCTAAGACTTTAAAAATAAAAGTTTCTTATTTAACTTCACTCATTGATGCACTCCATGCACTTCTCTGCTTAAATAAATTCTACCACATTCCTCAGGGTCCCTTCAAGACCCACATCCTCCATGAAGTTTTTCTTAATCACTTAAGCCTACAAATGTTCTTTCCTTCCTCCCAACTCCTATAACAATTAATGGATATACCATTCGTTTGATATTTATCTATATTTCTTTTCCATATTAGGTATTTATCAAACTTTCTGTACATATAGACATAGATATTTGTTGCTCAGTCATTCAGTAGTGCATGACTTTTCCTGACCTTTTTTTCCTGGCAAAGATACTAGAGTGGTTTGCCATTTCCTTCTCCAATGGATTAAGGCAAAGACAGGTTAAGTGACTTGTCCAGGGTCACACAGCTAGTGAGTGTCTGAGATTGGATTTTAACTTAGGTCTTTCTGACTCCTGCTCCAGTACTCTATCCACTGAGCCACCTAATTGCTTCAGACATAGATATACATATCTATAACTATATACTTAGATATAGATGATCTCTAGAAAGACAAATAGATGACAGAAAGAAAAAGAAAGAGAAGAAGGAAGGAAGGAAGGAAGGAAGGAAGGAAGGAAGGAAGGAAGGAAGGAAGGAAGGAAGGAAGGAAGAAAATTACCCCCAACTAGTATCTCACCAGTTTTAATGCGTCCTGAACTTTGTCATTATTCAATAAATACTTGCTGGTTCATTAGTATGTCTAGTTTAGTTTAACTATATTCTTAAAGGTAAGGAAATGAATTGTACTATGTCCAAGGTCCTATGCATTTTATATGTAAGGTACTATGAGCTATGCTTTGAAGATTCAAAGACAGATATGGCTCTCAATATGGCTCTTCCTTCAAAATCCAAAGAAAGGACACATACACAAGTGATTATGATACAGGGAGAGTAAAACTGGTACAAAGGAGAGGTCCAGACAAAGACTATGATAAACTTGAGGAAGGAAAGAAAAATTTCTCCTACAGGATGAGAAGACTTCTTGCAGAATGTGGCATCAGAGTTAGGAAGGCAAGATTTTGTTATTTACTCTAATTCTTTATATTTATCTTTTCATTCTGCCCTGGTGTTACTTCCTTTTTCCTTCAACTAAAATAATTTTCATCTCTGTACTATTCTCAAATATTAGAATAGCATCCCAATCTCTCATCATTTTTAGTCACTTACTACCCTTCTGTGGAACCTCCTCAAAAGATAGCATCCTGGAAACTTTTCCATAATAGTTTCCTTTTAAAGAGTTCTC